TCAGTGTTCCCATATTTGATGGGATTATCATTTTACCTATGTAAAATATAAAATATAGAACTGTAAATGGAGATATAATCTGTGAAGGGAAAACTTACAAGAAGAACAGTATCTATTGCACAATTTTATGTCAAATTTTTCTATGAGAGTTGTGGCTATTACAATATAATGTACTTGATTTCTTCTGGCAATAATATACCAGAAGCTATATTTCAACTTAAATGATTGAGCTGTTTACTCCTTTCTTTCTCTCCCCGTCCTATTTCAGATCTCCAATGTGAGCCTTGGTTTGGATCATCTTATATTGAAGAAGCTATTCCGCCGTCTTTGATAGAAATATGGAGGGATCCACCAGAAGTTGATGTTTCATTACATATGCCTTCAAAGAATGAGTTTGTTCCAAGTGACTTTTCAATTCGTGCTGATAACTTAGACCATGATCCTGTCAATGCATCCTTCCCAAGATGTATAATTGATGAACCATTAATGAAGTTCTGGTACAAGCTTGATAGCACTTTTAAAGTACCTCGTGCAAATACATATTTCCGCATATATCTGAAAGAGGGATATGCAAGCGTGAAGAGCTTTCTCATGACTGAACTGTTTATTCTCCTTCTCAAAGATGAGCTGAATGAGATAATTTATCAGGTTCATTGCCTATCTTTTATCTGAACGAATTCTCCACTTTTGTAATTTATCAGCTGAATGAGACAATGACTTAATGAATGAGTGACTTTGCCTTGTTTGTGATTTGTTATGAGGACAACCATACATGTGTTATATTGAGATCTGATACTATTTCTATTGGAGCTTATTTTTAATGGAGACTTGATTACAGTAGCAACTTATTGCATGGACTGGTTGCCCTAGTTGTTTGAATCCAGTTATGTTGTTTTTGCTGGTATAAAAGTTAGTCAAATGGCCCTCAAATCTCATTGCACAGAAATGATAACTTGTCGAGCTAGACCTTGCATTAGCTTGTTACATTATTTTCATAATGCTGGTTATTTGTTCTCATTTTGTTTCTGACATTTACTTTTTACCCTGTAAATTTGTTGTTTTCTGTTATTGTACGTATCATATGACAGGAAATTTTTATTGTTTCTCTGCAGGCCAGTGTAGCAAAGTTGGAAACATCCATATCTCTTGTAAGTGACAAGCTGGAGCTAAAGGTTTATGGTTTTAACGAGAAGCTCCCAGCTCTCTTATCTAAGGTTTTGGTGATAGCGAAATCTTTTTTGCCATCTGATGATCGTTTTAAGGTACACATACTCTGGTGTTTGGTGTCAATAGATATCCCAATGTGTTTTTAATTTTTCAACCAAATGCCTGCTCTAATGCGCTGCACTTATTTGGAGATAGAGTAAAGTTTCTTTGCTGGTTTCTGAGCATGACAGGTTATTAAAGAGGATTTGAAGCGAAATTTAAAAAATGCTAATATGAAGCCTCTAAGTCATTCATCATACTTAAGGCTTCAAGTTCTGTGTAAGAGCTTCTATGATGTCGAGGAGAAGCAGTGTGTTCTAAATGACCTGTCTCTTGCTGATTTAAATGCATTTATTCCTGATCTTCGTTCACAGGTATGCTTAACTCATGGCATGTTAAAAGGTCGTCTTTTTCTTCAAGATTGGTATTTGTTCATTTTGGCATGCCATGCCTTGCATACTGTACAGGTCTCTAAATTTAAATGTGTCTGCATATTGTACAGCTCTATATCGAGGCCCTTTGCCATGGCAATTTGTTACAAGAAGAAGCAATCAACTTATCAAATATAATTAGAAATAACTTGTCTGTACAACCACTTCCAGTCAATATGAGGCATGAGGAGCATGTAATATGTCTTCCATCTAGTGCCAATCTTGTGAGAGATGTCAATGTGAAGAATAAATCAGAAACAAACTCTGTGGTCGAGGTAATTGAAAATTTACTAATTTAACAATTTTCCTTTTCCTGATATGATCCATTACATGCTTTCTCCTTTTTGTTCTCCACTACAGCTTTATTTCCAAATTGAGCCAGAAGTGGGGTTGGACTCAATAAAATTGAAGGCCTTGGCAGATCTTTTTGATGAAATTGTGGAAGAACCACTTTTTAATCAGCTAAGGTTATTTTTTGGAGGTTTTTTCTGTTTTTTTGGTTATTGGTTTTTTGTATTAAGTGGACTGGGAAATATGCTTACATTTTGGGGGGAAGCAAGAAAATGATGGTGAGTCATGCTAATGAGACTTGTGTCCCAGAAATTTACTTGTGTGTGAGTTTTTGCTGTTCTCTTGGGTCCGTGTAAACAAAGGTGCAGTTGTCTACATATACTATTGGATGGGCATAGAGAATGATTTAGAGATATCCAGATTGTTATGCCCACCCTTTAAAAAGAAAACCAAATTTTACGTAGGATTTATATTTACTCGATTCTTTATTCTCTTTTCCTACTGAAAGTTTTCTATCTATTTTGAAATACAGGACAAAAGAGCAGCTTGGCTATGTTGTTGAATGTAGCCCGCGTGTGACCTATCGTATTAATGGGTTTTGTTTCATAGTCCAATCTTCCAAGTACAACCCAGTTTACTTGCTAGGAAGGATTGAAAATTTCATAAATGGGCTTGAAGAGTTGTTAGTAAGCATCCAAGTTCCATGTTCTCGTATACTGCTAGTTTCATATATTTTTGCTCTGTTTGATTGTACATTATAGTTATTGTCTTAAGAAGCTTGTCCTTGTCCACTACAAGGACCATTTGCTCAATTGAAATTATTTACTTGGATGGCTCAGGGGAAATTGCATCTTTTGGGGCTCCCAAGTTAGATGGTTTGGGCATTCAGTTGATGCAGTAGATATTGTGAATATGAATTTTTTAATTTTTTCTTGTTAGAACAATCATTTTGCGTTGATTAGCTTAATGCTTCTGAGGTGCCATCCTGGTTCTTACATGATGCAGTAGATATTGTGAATATGAATTGTTTAATTTTTTCTTGTTAGAACAATCATTCTCCGTTGATTAGCTTCATGCTTCTGAGGTGCCATCCTGGTTCTTATATGGCATGCTTGTTCTTTATGTGCCTTTGTTCTCTCATGGACAGCTCTTTTAATTATTCTTCCCCCTCAAAAGTATTTACCATAAATTTTCTCATTTAACTGGATTTTAACTTGTATAAATGTCAACTGTGTTAAAGCATCAAGGGGCTTTCAACAATGATATATGGCACTTTTAAAATGCTTGTTTTTTTCTTTCTTTTCTTTTTCTGCACAAACAAATTTGGTTCTGATATGTTGGTGAGCAGGAAGGACTTGATGATGCATCCTTTGAGAACTACAGAAGTGGGTTAATGGCTAAGCTACTGGAGAAAGATCATTCCCTCCAGTATGAAACCAATCGGCTGTGGAATCAAATAACCGATAAAAGGTACTGCTATCTATATACTTTACTCTGACATGGGTGGTAATTTTTAATTCAATTAAAACCACTTGAATCAAATGAGATCCCCTAACCCGTTTTAATGCACTGCAAGCAGACATTTGAGCATCACTGAGCCCCTGATTCTATTGGATGATCAGGACTGTGGAGCCATGATTCTTAACTGAATTTAAAGCATCTAATGTTTGCTTCTTGTTGTGTGAATGTGGCATTTTGCTGATAGTAACCCTACTTGGGTTTTGATTTTCAGGTATATGTTCGACTCCTCACTGAAAGAAGCAGAAAATCTTAAAAGCATCCACAAGAGTGATGTAATCAACTGGTTCAGAACCTATTTGCAACAATCATCGCCGAAGTGTAGGAGACTTACAATTCGGCTTTGGGGTTGCAACACTGACTTGAAAGAAGTTGAAACTCGAGCAGATTCTGAGCAGGTTATCACAGACATCACTGCCTTTAAGGTATCATCCGAGTACTATCCGAGCCTTTGCTGAATATGTGAGAAAATTCAATTCATGCAATAACCATCGAATGCCAGGTTTGAACAGAAGATGGTAGGTGGATTGGAAACTATATTATCTCTTGCACTTCAGAATAGGAACTGAAAATAAAAAACATTGACCATTCATGTCACACTATATTCTTTTGGAATTTTTGGAGACCACAAATAAAGTTTGTTCTATTTATTTATTACTAGTTTTTTTTTTTTTTTCTCATCACCTGTTCTGGTTCGCGCTTTCTTAAAATAGCAATCAAATGAAAACTACATGTTGTAAGATATTGGATATTTGAATGAAAATCTTTGTAAAATTTTGAATAAACTGCAATATGTTTTTGCTAGCTTTAAAAAGTTACATTTGATACCAACAAATTTTTGTATTTTAAATTTTATTTAGTAGAGAATGATGTTTAATTAAATCCAAGTATTCTTAAAAATCTGTAACATAATTCAAGTTTTAATATTATTTCGTATTCTTGATTCAAGTAAGAGATTTCAATTTTATTTTTTTATCTAAAATTCAATATTGATTACTAATAATCTCTTCTTTTTAGAAACACTCTTATCATGTGGGGGAATGTTTTTCTTTATAATCATGATATAAAACTATGAAGTCTTGTTGCTAATCATAGTAAATATTTTAGAAACAATAAACAAACTTGAATTTACAGAAAATAATGAAATCCTGAATTTTGGGTTTCAGCCCTGTAATCTCCCCGTTCTTCCTTCACAACTCGAGAAAACGAAAGCCATCGCACCGACATAAAATGCATGAAAGTTGAACTATGGTTAGTAAACCTTACCGAGATTGACACGGGTTAGCTTAAACTTAAATTTTTTATTAAAAAAAATCGTTACAAAGTTGTTTTCTATAATTTTTTCAAGTCAACTAAATTATTATTGATGACCTATAACTTGACCGACAAGCCAAGTTCATACAGGTCTTGAACTAAACATGTAAAAATCTCACAAATTCAATCCAATAATAATTTAAGAAGCTGACATTGGAGTAACCGTTCCCAGCCAATGTGGGCTGCATCATTGAGAAAAAATTCCGTAAATGGTATATCAAAGCACATTAAGAACCATCATGATAGAAGTTCACCTCATCTCTCTCAAAATTTCCAACAAGAATGCACATGGTAGGGTTTGGCTTCGTCATCTAGCTATACCACCATTCTCATACTTTTTCCAAGCTGAGAACAGTTATTCAAAGGTCTTGATCTTGTTGCCCTACGAGTGGGACTAGCAATAGACAAACCCTAGTGAGGGGGGCTTTTCACATTGCCCTCCTCGCCAACAAGAAAAAACACACACTGCAAAACTCCCACGCTTCCTTGTGGACATAACTCGCCATTAGCATACCCTGGAAAATGATGTGTCAAGCCTTGAGAATCACAGGTCCTGTTCCTAGCTACCCTACATTTATCAGGAAACTATATTAGAAAATACAAAATTCTCTCTTTTTTTATGGCAGAAATTGTTCTTTCTTCAAGAAAGCAGCTAAATCCCCCCAAGATTTCCTTGTTGGATCTGTATCTTTGAACCTTGTCATCACATAGCAATGAAACAATAAATAAGGTTGCTGTCAGCTATTATTTCTGAACAGAAAAAACAGATGCAGAGAAGAAAGAAACACATACTTGGTTTAAAAAACAGAAACAGAAACTATTTCTTAGACAGTCTTAAAATGAATTTCTGTAATTTCAAAATAAAAAAAATACAGAGAAGCATGTACTCTCTATCCTAACTATTTCCGTCTTTTCTACCAAACGATGTCTGATACTGGCTTTTGGAGGGCTGGATCTGTATTTCTTTACAATGGAAGGTAAAGCGACAAAAACATAGACATAATTAAGAAAAATAAACTGTATGTGTGGAAACTCCACATGTAGCCTGGAAGGTAGAAGACATAATTAATGAAGGCCTGCCATTGAGGACAAAAAGTTGATGTATTCACCAACAGACCCTGAAGTAAGCTAATCAGGGACACTGGCTGGTGGAGTAATGTTTTTGAAGACAAGTTTTATACACTTGCAAAGCTGTTTATTTTGGCTCTTAATTAATATAAAAAAATAAAAATATGACCACTGAATCTTGTATTTGCTCAACCACTGCGTATGATATATGCATGAGATTTTGTATGTATGATAAATGAAAAAATAAGAAGAAGAAGAAGATTGAGAAGATGCATGAATATGACATTGGTGGCCGCAAAGCCGGAAGTTGCATGTGCTCCTAACATGGTAGGACCGCCAATATCAAATTAGCGGCATAAAAGAATTGTACGCCTCTATCAAGAACGGCAGCTAGAACAGCTGAATCAACTCCAAGCCCTCGTACGTAGTTACCTATCTCGATCTGGTTTGATTTGTCTATCTGGTTATTCGTCGGTTCAAAATCTAGTATGAGATATGTTAGTTACCTATCTTCAAGTCCACATGAAGTTTTAGAGTAGGTTTATGTTGAATCGGCCAGTTGTCCACGATCTAGATCTTGGCGCAGGTTAAATTCCTGTGCGTGCTCTAATGGCCATGCTTCAAGTTCCACCATGCCAGAAACAAGGTTCCATATATGCTAACTCAAGGCCATAAAAAGCAGCCCATAACTCCGACTGCAACGAAGAACAGATGCACACAATATTGCCATATTTAAGTGTGTCAAGTGCCATTTGACCATAGTAAATGTCATTCAATACTTTCCCATTTAGAGGACTCCCACGTATAAAACTGTTCTGCCAAAAATCCATGGCTAAACAGCAAGCACTTGCTCTGATTTTCTTCTTCTTTTTTTCTTTTTTTTTTATAGATTCGTCTCATCTCAAGTACTTGATTTCTAAACTTCTACCGCAACTATGTTTGGTATCGCAATCTAACCGTAAATTATAGTTTCACCACACCATGATTAAAAAAAAAAAAAAGGATCACCAGAACACACCATATATAGGAATCCGTAAATTGGAAACAACATCTTGGTAGGGAATCTAATTTGATGCTCTGTAGAAGCATTTCTTTATCCTGTTCGAGTCCACGTGTGAACATAACCCTATAGAATGAAGAGAAGTGTAATTGGTTTTGTGTATTTTACTACCGACAAACAGCAATGGATGTTTCATGGCAAGGCTTGGGGATAGATTCAAGAACAAGAACAAGAGAAGTCGTGCAATCATCTAATTAAACAAGTAGATCAGATTGTCATATTAGCACGTAGGCCTTTGATTTTATATCCTTGCATCCAAACAATGTATCTCCTTCTGTTTTGATATGAAGTTCGGTGGTGATTCACATCCTTGGAATTTGTATTTATTAATTTTTTCAATTAACTCGATTAAAAACTAATCATCTAGTCAAGTACAATTAATGATGTCTTGGGCAGTAAGAATCTCTACCACCCAGCACAAATATATGGTAATGTCTCAAGTCACCATGCTATCCTTAATTAACTAGAATCTTTTTTTTATTATTAATATAGATATCCGGATAACTTATGTGTATTTTAATTAATATTTTAAGTTCTTAAATTAATCGACGGTTTAAAAAACTATTAAACATAGCTTAAAAAAGAAAAAGAAAAAAAAATATAGTATTGTGTTTCCCTCCTCCCCCGACAAGGAGAAAGAAAGTGAAATCCAGAAGCCCTCCTCCTTATCCACACATAACATACGAATTTAACCAAAAAAAAAAAAAAAACCTTATCCATACATGCTACATATGCTTAATCCTTAGCATTCATCAAGGTAACTTTTACAATATGGAACATAAAGACAAGCTTGGCGAGGATAGAACACACACAGACACACACAGTGACACAGATACAATTATATAAGGTCACACGAGACATTATTCACGTGTGGACGGTGCAATCTTTTTTATTGTTCATGGCGAAAGAATGCATGAAGATGCATCTTAATTTACATTTGTGATTTTTAACTCCTTTTCTCCCTGTAACAAACATGTATTTGTATTAAATTTAGACTGATTTGAGGCTTGATTCGGAGTTAATTCTAAAAAAAATTAAAATAATCTTATAAATTAATTTAAAATTTGGTTATTTTGTTAAATTTAAGTGAGATTAGACTCAAATACTTTCAAGATTTTTTTATTTTATTTTTTTATCTAAAATAGTGTTTGTAAAAGGAAATAGTAGTAAACGACATTTCAAAGAAGCCATATCTCTACTACATCAATGGTGTGTTTAGCACTATATTTTAAAAATATTTAAAAACATTAAAAAAAAATAGTTTGAATTAATATATTTTTTATGTTTTCAAATGCTAATCTTAAAATAATTTTTAAAAAATAAAAAATATTATTAAAATATTTTTCTAAATAAAAAACAATTTAACAAAACTCCATTTCTTTTTCATGTCAGTCTCAAACTATTTAAAACAGGGCAGCCAGCAGCCACGTGACCAACACCATCATACAAAGAAAGGTTGGAACATCTCACGCTCTAGATGTTTTCCACGCCCACTTTGAAAACATGTATACATATCGGTGGAAAATCCCTCTATTCAACTCTCAAATTCTTGAGAAAAAGACTCTGTGAGGGCACATGGTTTAGCTAGCACTTGTCAATAAACATTAATGAGCCATCTGGTCTTATGATCCAATTGAACAATGCCGAGGAACAATGGTGGCTGAGGAAGCAGACGGCCATTCTCTTTGTCTAGCTAGGACCAAAAGGGTGAAAGAGAGGTGTTGAAAACCAAATTGTGAACCAATTAGTTCAAATTATATAGAAACATTATAGAAAGGGATATGCGAAAGATACATGCTCTTGTTTTTATTGTACATCACACTCTGTTTTCTGATATCTTTTCTCTTCTTCTCCTTCAAATGCAGGTATCGTCTCGTTTAAGAACACATATCTGCATGTGATTGTACTTGCATTCATAATTTTTTTAAAAAAATATCATTTTGATAACTTTTTATATTCTTAAACGCCCACTTTGAGATTTCATAAAAAGTCTAATAGTGGGAGATTACCCTTATCTTTTTTATGATGAACAAGAAACACGCATTGCTTTATCAGTCACCATTGTCGACTATATACATTCACAGATTGTTTCGATACTCAAGTTGATCTGCCATTTTCAGAGAGCTTAATTGATATATGGGATGTCAATTCATCAAATTATGATGTTTCATATATTACTTATCCAAAATACTTGAACCGATTGTATGGTATGCATTGGCAAGCATGTCATTCCCTGCTAATCTTAATAAAGCAACAAGATTTCCTTCCATGTGCAAAAGATACTACTGATCCTTTTCTCTCTTAGAGACCCTACGCTCTCTAGCCCTTCACATTTAAGGCCAAATTCAAGTATCCATGGTCCCAAATAAAGACACCATATGCCCTACTTGACCGTCCTCTACCTACATATCCATCACCAAAAATGAAAAACCATAAAGAAAATACACTCACACGCACCAAACCTAACCTAAACAATAGTGGCGACAAAGAAACTACGTTGATTTATGAAGTTGTAGGAAGCGGTTGTTCACACGCACCAAACCTAACCTAAAACTAGTGGCGACAAAGAAACAACATTGATTTATGAAGTTGTAGGAAGCGGTTGTGAGTTGCATGTGCAAGGTTTGGCCCACCAATTATGTGTTCGGTATTGATATTAAATCTGTTTTTATTTTAGAATTTACTTTTCTATATTTTAAATTAATTTTTTAATATTACGTTGATGTGTTAGTATTAAAAATAAAATTTAAAAAATAAAATAATATATATTATTTAATATATTTTTAAATAAAAATACTTTAAAAATCAAATATTATCTGAACTTCTGTTACTGATCTCTGCGGTAGGTACCCCCTACACAAGAACCAGTGCATGTGCAGCTTGATTTTCCAAATATCAGTTTGAGGCCGGCTGTCATAACCCCACCTAATGGGGGTGAGCTACTCTTTACTTTTCTTATAAATAGCACAACGTCCTTTCTTTAATTCAGCAACACAAACACTTCTTCCCCTTCTACAACCTCCTCTGTCTTATTAGTCTTGTCAGTACTATAGCATCTGTCAGACAATTAGCATTGGCAATGGCAGCTCAAACATTCGCTTCATGTCTTCTTCTCTTCATTTGCTTACACCTTCAAGGCATTTTGGCTGATTATGGAGGGTGGCAAGGTGGTCATGCCACTTTCTATGGCGGTGGTGATGCAACTGGCACAATGGGTAAGATTAAGTCATATCTAGCTAGTAGCTAATGTGTGCTCCTTGATCATATACGTAACTGAACTTGAAGAAACAAAAACAAGTTGCTAAATATGATAATTCTATCTGCTAATTATTATGGGGCTTTGGGGATTTTCAGGAGGAGCATGTGGATATGGAAATTTGTACAGTCAGGGTTATGGAACTAGCACTGCAGCACTAAGCACTGCCTTGTTCAACAATGGCTTGAGCTGTGGTGCTTGTTATGAAATGAGATGTGATGATGACCCCAGATGGTGTCTCCCCGGTACCATCACTGTCACTGCTACAAATTTTTGCCCACCTAACCCTTCTCTGCCTAACAACAATGGTGGATGGTGCAATCCTCCTCTCCAACATTTTGACATGGCTGAGCCTGCTTTCTTGCAAATTGCTCAATACCGTGCTGGAATTGTGCCTGTAGCTTTTAGAAGGTAAATTAATTTCTTCTTTTTTGTTCAACAGTGATGGTATCTTTGGACATTTTATTAGTCCCACTCCTGCTCCTTGTTAAACCGCGTTTCAAGACCAAAAACCACGGTTTGCAACATAACGCAGATCGCGGAGACAAATACTCTTGAGTAGATTAGTTAGACAAGTGAGCTACCGATATTTAAAGAAACTTAATGAGGCCGATTTAAAGAAAACTTTCTAAATGGGCCATGGCTTAATTGTACTTAATGACTATTTAAATCACATTGCAAATAGCTGAATAAGAAAATAATCACCTAGTGATTAGCAGGGTCAAGTCTCAGTTCAAAGGAAAAGGGAGTGCCAAATGTTAGGCCAGTTAGTATTGATTCCATTGCTGCTGACAACTTTGAGTTAATTTTTAGTCAGTCTGCCATTAACCAATGCAAATGCTCTTGATTTTGGCAGGGTGCCTTGTGTTAAGAAGGGAGGAATTAGATTTACCATCAACGGTCACTCCTACTTCAACTTGGTCCTGATCACCAATGTTGGTGGTGCGGGAGATGTTCATTCAGTTTCAATCAAAGGCTCGAAAACAGGGTGGCAAGCGATGTCAAGAAACTGGGGCCAAAACTGGCAGAGCAACACCTACCTCAACGGTCAAAGCCTATCCTTTCAAGTCACCACCAGTGATGGTAGAACTGTCACAAGCTACAATGCGGTGCCTGCTGGCTGGCAATTTGGTCAGACTTTTGAAGGAGGCCAGTTTTAAGATTTCAACACCTTTTTTACCATTTTCTCTTCTGGGTCTAAAGTTTTAACTACAATTAAGCCTGGTTGGTTGATGGAAATTTGTATATTTATATTATTTATATTATATGCTTCCTATAAGAACAAGGTCTAAAGTTTTAACTGCAATTAAGCCTGGTTGGTTGGTGGAAATTTGTATATTTATATTATATGCTTCCTATAAGAACAGATTAAGAGGCAAAAAAAAGAGAGGGTATTGTAGTGATGTTTGGAGGAGAAGTGGCCTTGTAAAGCTGAGGTAGCTAAATCTAAATAGCACCCGCTTGCCCTTCCTCGTATGTATAAGTAGTCTTTTGAGAAATGTATTCATGTCTTTCAAGAGTAATTTACAATTTCCATTGGTATGCAAGATTAAGACAAGATTGCTACATTAAAACAGTGTTGTATTGACAAAAAGTGCTGAGCATTCACGTAAGATCTTGTCTGGAATTGGAATATTTGTATGCATTTGCCACTTGAAAAGAAATCTTGCAGATGCATCATCTTTTTTAACCCATAGTACATGCACAGAGCATTGTCTTTTCCTTCAAATCAATCAATCTAGCCATTTAAATGGGCCCTAGGGAATTGCTTTCTAGGAGAAAGGGCTTGTCTTGTAACGCAGTCGCCCTGTTCTTTTCATTTAAAAAATCATTTTATCGGCTTTTCAGATGGGAAACGCAGGTAGCCCCGTAGGTTGCAACCATGTTCCCAAAAATATCAGTCAGCTTAAAAGTTATGAAGACCAATGACATTTTAAAGCATGATTTCTTGAAGCCCATTGAAGCACCTTACAGTCCATTTTCAAGTTCTTTTCAGGCAACCACAGGGGCCGCTGCAGCATGATAGAAGCAAATTTTGATGCATCACTTGTGAAATTTATTGTAAATGTACTTTCTTTTATTGTTTAGCCAACAGTAATTATATTTAGGTTATGTTTATGAGTACGATACTGCAGAGTCTGATGGTTTTTTTATATACAACTCATTTAATACACAAAACATCGCAGTTTAAGACAAATTTTATATGTTTTTCGTTGTTTTTTTACATGGATTCTACCTAAAAAAAGCTCCCACAGAACACACTCAAGTATTTGATATTATAATAACTATTGTAGTTATAATTTTATAAAAAATATTTTATAAAAAATATTTTTAATTAAAATTAGTTTCAAAAAATAGATATTTAATTAAAACTGTGATTAAAATTAAAATTAAATAAAAAATAATTTAATGTATTTAGTCAAAAATACTTTTAAAATTAAAATTATAAAATAATTTAAAAAATATATTAATATTGATAATTTTTAATTTAAATATTATAAATTTAACTATTATTATTATATCATAAAATAAATCATATTTTATATAAAATATTTTTTATTATCTCATAAAATCTTTTATAATTTCATTATATACGAAATACATCCGACATGAATTATAAATTTTATAATTTTTTAGCATGTAATAAATTTAAATAAAATATTATTATATATAAAATTCACTCTTAAAAAAAAATATTATAAAAATTAATACACAAAAAAAATATGTCTATACATTGCGTATAATGCACTACTATGTAATTGCTCATATTAATTACATTATTTATTGAATAATGCAATTTATGTGAACAATAAAAATAAATAAAAAAATTTTACTTTTTAAATACTGTATTTCTAATAAAAAAAATATAATAAATAATATATATATATATATATATATATATTTCTATATAATTTAATTAAATAGCTATAACTATGTTTTAAATAAAACGGAGTTATAGCTGCAGAGCCAAACAGCTTCTTAGTTTATAGTGTTTCATGAAGGAATTGACTTTTGAAGTATGTTGTTTTTAACGGATACTTTTGAAGTATTCGTACTTCCTACACTTTCTTTGTACGTATCCATCTGCCTTCGTGTACTGTATGTGTATTCTAGCCTCACCAATGGGCTATAAGATTTCCAAAGACCATGCTCCTATTTCTTCAAGCCCGTGACACTAACACCTTCATGGTACTTCCTCGCTTCTTTATAAAGTCGCCAGCCAGAACATGAGAAAATAACAAACTACGGCTTGGCCTAGCGGTGGAAGGGACTTATCTCCTTTCATTGCACCTGAATTCAAGTTCTAGCGTGCATGTCTGTCATCTCCGTGGTGCCTTACATGCCTACTAAATTTACAGGATATTCAGTGGGCCATGGAGATTAGTCGTGGTGCGGGCAAGTTGGCCCGGACACCCCACGTAAATCAAAAAAAAAAAAAAAATTAGTAATTTTTATAATATAGTTTAACAGATTAAATTTTAAAAATTATTAATTTAAATTTTAAAATTATTAAAAATTTATAAAATTAATTAAAACAACTCGAACACCTACATTAATTAAAATAAAAATTACATTCCTCTTATTTCAAATTCAACACTCACCCTTATATATTATTCTGCCTAACATCCCCCATTTCTTGTTGTTTCGTGCATTTTTTTAAAATATGGTAATTTCATTATTCAACTTTCTGTTAATTATATTATATAGAAATATTTATTTGATCATCTAAATTCTTGATATGCCAGCCAAGAAATCACTATCTAAATAAATTCTTGATATGCCAGCCAAGAAATCACAGTTATATTCTGTTAATTAAACCTTTTCCTATTCAACTTTCTGCATATTCTCAAGCATAAATATTATTTCTTAATGTGTAGTAACACCCTATCCTATCCTATCATGGAATGTGCATCATTTCCAGAGAATTAATAAGGGATTGAAGCTGATATAAAATTTGAATTGGTTTAAGTTGAAAATAATATTAAACAGAAAAATCTAATTAAAAACCTGAGTTAATTTATAATTTAATTGTCATGATCTAATTTAGTCAAAATCTATTATTTTATTTTATTTTTAAGTAAAAAATTTAGAATCAAACCTGAAAATTTCCATGTTTGGTCAAGTTTGATAAGTTATTGTGACACTCTATCAACCATCCTGTTTATTTTTGTTGGGAAAACATCACCTGGGAGATAAGTCATACGGTAATTTCACTCTTAGACCATGTTTGTTTGGACAGAAATAAGCAAGAAGGGATTTTTTTTAGGCCTAAGGCTCTATTTGGTAATTCTTTTAGGTTAAGTTTGGAAGTATTTTATAAATTGTATTTAAAATAATTATATAACAATTTTAAAATAAATTTATGCCATTTAAGAACAAAAAGATACAGACAAATGACTTTCTTTTTCTTTTTATTTCAGTCTTTTTCACCTTGAGATATAATCAAACGCTATCATAAAATCTAGAAATTTGGCCTCGTTGTAGGAAAGTTGGTCCAAGAAGATCCGAATGCTCCTTCTAAGGTTCTAACCAAACAAGGCCATAAATTTGAAGTCCCCTAATTTTAATACATTCACAATTTAATCCCCACAAAAAACGGAAGAGAGTCAAAGCTTCTCATCGCCAACAGCAACAGCATCACCAACAACACTCTCCCATTTCTTTATTTCTCATTCTCATTTCTCTCCCATTTATATATAAATAAATCTCTCTCATTCTCAATCAAAACAAAGAGAGTTGCAAAAATAAGCAAAAAAACTAACACCCTTTTTAGTGTTCTTTCTTTTATAGATTGATTTCAGTTATCAGCAATTCTCAAAGGTTTCTCTTTCTCTACATTGATCTTTAGTTTCGGTAACAGATCTATGTTTCTTGTTCTAATCTATTTTTATTTGCTTACAGTTTCAGCTGCTTTGGTTTCTTTTTTTTAGAAGTTTTGGATCCAATTATGAGGTGAATCAGGTAAAGGGTTTTTATTTCTGTGTTGAATTACAAATGTGTCACCTTCATGGGTTTTCTTTTTTATGTATAATCTGAAATGGTTTTTTTTTTGTATGCTCAAATGTGCTGATTATGTTGAGATTTTGGGATTTTGGTAGATCTGGATTAAGGAGATAGCGTGATTTGGAATTGAAGTGAAAATGAGTGAGGGCCAAAAATTCCAGCTAGGGACTGTTGGGGCTTTGAGTTTATCAGTGGTTTCGTCAGTGTCGATTGTAATCTGCAATAAGGCTCTTATTAGCACACTTGGCTTCACTTTTGGTGAGTGTTCATATTTACGTACTCTTTCCTTTTGATATAATGTATTTTGTGTGCTTACATTAGATTTGGCTCTTCTGAAGTTAATGTTGTTTGTTTGTTGAATCTCATTTGCTGTTGTCGGTATTCACACTCGATTTGATATTGATGGGGTACCTAATGGTAATATTGGATGTCAGAATTCATGTTAAGAAAGATAAGTTCTTTGAATGTGCATGAATGGTGATTGTGAGAGCTCCGCACGGTTGGCGCTTGATAGGAGACCATATACTCATTTGTTAGAAATCATGGAATGGATCAACAGGGTGTTGTTCTTTTTGAAAGTAGAAGTTTAAAACCACACGATCCTAATCTTTTACTGTAATTAACTTGCTAGTTGTCTGCCACCTTTTATTATTTTTGATACATGGCCGTAAGATTTTATGATCATGGATGCACAGTGCCTAAGAGGTCAATCTGATTATTTATTGATCTATATGATCTTTAATAGCGTGTGGTTCCATATGGTGACTGTATTATCTAATGTGTTCCAACTGCAACATGATGCAAAGAAATGATGATTTCATATATTCTTGCAATGCTACTTTACTTCACTTAAATGCGGGCATGTAATCTATAATTACTGGCAGTTTTTGGTGATGGTAGTAAATGGGCTGAAACTCTATAAGTGGTCATTTTCTGTAGATGTGCCTCATTTGAATCATCATCATCAATATTATTGTTGCTTAACTTTTGATTTTTCAGCCCTAAATTTTCCATCATGTATACTTATTTTTGTTTGTTTGGTCGAATGCAGCTACAACTTTGACAAGCTGGCATCTTCTGGTCACCTTTTGTTCTCTTCATGTAGCATTATGCATGAAATTGTTTGAGCACAAGCCTTTTGACGCAAGAGCAGTAATGGGATTTGGCATACTAAATGGGATATCCATTGGCCTTTTGAATCTTAGCTTGGGTTTCAATTCTGTTGGTTTTTATCAGGTATGCTGCCT